AGGCTGGGATCGTCTGGAGACAGGCTTGTCTAGAGGTTCAGGCCGGTGATAGGCTGGCACTGCAGCTGGGCTGGCAGCCAGGCACGACGCCGACATAGGACCTCTCCACATGGGCTAGTTTGGCTTCCTCATAGCACGGTGACTGGGTTCCAAGAATGTCCCAAGAAAGTATATAGCATTTTTATGATCTAGCTTTGGAGGTCACATAGCATCACTTTTGTCATGTTCTAATCAGACTAGATTTATTTTCTTCCCAGCAAAGTTCCATCAGGGTTCAAGGAGTGGGGTCATAGATCCCACTCCTTGATGGCGTGAGTATCAAGGTCACCGTGTAAGAAGAGCCTGTGGAGTTGGAGATACTGTTGAAGCCACAGTTACTGATAAACTTCCTGGGCCACAGCGAAGAGATATGGCTCCCGGCTGAGCCAGTTGTGTCCTCGAGAATGGCCCCGGACTAGGGGCTTGGCCAGCATTCCTCACACCTTCCCTGTGCACCCCCGGTTTGGCCTGTGGTGCAGAAAGTTCCGGAAGACCTGGAGCAGAAGCTGCAGACCATTCCGGGTGAGTGAGGAGCCTAGCGTGTTACCTGAAGGGACCTGTGCCTACCCGAGAAGTGATTGGACCTGCATTCCCCGGGATCCCACCCCTTCAGCCCTTTGCCAAGGTGCGCTATTCCCTGGAGCTGAGGCGGCGGGTTGGAGCGGAACGTTGACTGGATTGGCCTTATACAGACGGGGAAACCGAGGCCATGGGGGACGCGGGGGTGGCGGATTAAAACCAGAAGAGGACAGATAGATCTGGGAATAGAATCCTAGATGTCCGCCTCCCAGGCACCCAGCTTCGGAGACCCTGATATTAGCTACGGGGTCGTCTGCATGTCCTTTGTATACATCCGCCCAGGTGCAAGGGCGGTGACGAGGACCCAGGTCCCCGGATCGCAGCGAGTTCTGACGAATCCCTCACCCCACAGACCTCCCCACTCGTGGCAGGTTCGCATCCCCGCCCGGCCGCTCCGTGCCCTTCCCGCGGTCAGAGCGTGAGGGCCACACGGTCTTGCCCCGCCTGGGGGACGCCTTCTCCTGCTTCGCCACGGTGGTCGCCTTCACGCCGGGACCCCCGTCTGCACCCTCACGGACCCCGCGGTGAGCGGGCCGCCGAGGGCGGGCCCGGGCGACGGGCGGGGAGGGGCCTGGGTGACGGGTCGGGCGAAGCTGAAGCCGGCGAGAGCCCGAGAGGAGCGAAGGCCCGGGCCGGACCTCGGGGTCGGACCTGCGGCCGCGGGGCTAGTGTGACGAGCCAAGTGGGCGCGGCCGGGGCGTGACCTGGCGGGCTGGAGCCGGCCCGGGTGACCGCGCGGGCCGGACTAGGGGGCAGAGGCGGACGCCGTGCGGGGACGGGGCAGGGGTGACCGAGAGCTCAAGGCCGGGGCCCGAGCCCCGGTTTAGCGCGGCTTTCGAAGGCGGGGCCGGAGTGACGGACAGGGCAAGGCGCGATCCCGGGCTGGGCGACTGAGGAGGGACCTTCCAGGGTGGGGGCGAGGCCCGCGGTCGGGGGTGCAGGGCAGGGAAAAGCGGCAGGACAGGGGTGGGGCTGGCGAAGGGAGGGCGCCGGCTACTACGTGCAGCCCGGGGGGACGCGGGACCGATGGCTCTCCGAGGGGTCGCCGAGGGATGCCTAGAAGCCCGAGGCCGGGGAAGGAAGGGACGCGGCACGGAGATGACGTCGTGTGAGTGACCAGGCAGGTGACAGGACCTAAAATCAGGGCCTCTTGGAGTTAGGACGAAGGACGCCTTGAGGGCGGGATAAGGGGCCCCGGGTGACAGCCAGAGGGGCTCGGCCCCAAACAAAGCCCTTGCGGCTCTGCAAGGAATTCCGCTTCCGGCGGGACACCCCGAACTTCGCGAATTTCGTGCCCCAAGTGAGGGAACGGTCACTCTTGCAGCCCAGGACGCCACCAGCGGGGCACCTTCTTTAGCCGCGCCCCCTCTGTCCTCTGTCCTGGGGCCGAGGCGGTGCGGAGAGATCAGACCTGTCTGAAGGAGGTTTCCGCCTTCCAGGCCCCCGGGTCTAGCGCAGTCACAGCGATGTCCAGCCCAGCGGGTCCACCGGCCCCTGATCCCGCTACCGGCTTGTTCCCGCGGCCTGGAAACCTGCCATTTGAGGTTGTCCTCGTGGCCGCCCTGGTTCTGCGTCGGTTCTGACCCAGCCCGCCTGTCCACAGCTGCAGAAGCGCTTTCTAAACTCGCCCCTGGAGCTGCGGGTCGTCGCGCGACGTCCCCAGAGCCCGCGCTGCCGCCTGGGCTCCCTCGTGCTGGCTCGGCCTGCCGCCCAGCCGGCTACAGCGCTCCGGGGCCGCAGCGCGCCCGGCCAGATCCGCGCGTCCCCTGGAATTCCTGCCAGCGAGCGGCCCGGGCCTGGCGCTCGGGCCTGGCCACGCCCCCTCTGACCACTGGCCGCGCCCCCACCCCAATGATCCCACCCTCTTAGTGCCTCCTTTCCCGGCTGCACCCTGCCCGCGCCCTTCACACAGCAGTCCTCACCCCGAGGATGTCTCGCCCACTCCTACCTTTCCTTTCCCCTCTATACTAGATGGACAACCCTCCATCTCTGGCCCCTCCCCTGCACTTTTATCGGCCCCGCTCCTCCGTCCCAGGCCCCCTCTCCAAATTCATCCGGCTCTCGAGGCTCCGGAGAGGCTGCCGGTAAAGGTCCGCGACGCTTTGTCGTTCACCTCTTCTACTTTCGCCTTCGGGTTTGCCTGAGGTCTAGGTCTTTCTCAGTGTCCGCTCCGGACTGCGTGAAGCCCGAGTGGGGGCAGGGGCGGGAGAGCCGGACCGGCTGGACGCTAAGGCCGTAGCTGAGGTTTTTATGTCTGGGCAGTATCTCGGGGAGTCCCTGGATCTGATCAAGTGAGTGAGAGCTGGAGGGTCGGAGCGCCAGGGCCAGCGGGAAAGGGACAGATTCCTGTCAACTACTGTCCTTGCAATGTCACTGTGCATGCACATTCACTGCAATCTCAGCTATAGCGGTGAGTGGGCTGCGATGCCCCGTCCGGAGCCCCCTCCCCTCTGTGCCCACTAAGGTTCCCGGAAGACTCCCACTCCTGGCCCCAGAACCTCTGAGAGTCCTGCCTTATGTGAGAGTCTGACATGCCCTGGCCCAGGACGTCCCGGCGCTGCTCCACATCACCCAACAGGCGGTTGTTCTGCCTACATCACCCTTGAGCCACCCAGGCCTGTCTCCATCTCCCTCAGCCCATGGGGACAGCTTCCCCAACAGATGTTCCGTATTACAGCATCACCCCACAGCTGCGGTCTGGAGCGCCTGGCGTTCCCACAGAGGCAAGGGTGGGAAAGGGCAGGACAGAACAGAGGATCTCAGTCCCCAAAGGCCTTCCCTTGGGAGGCACCCGCCTGACCTTTGAAAATTCTGCCAAGATTCAAGGCCCAGGTTGCCTGAAGAAGGGTCTTCCCTTGTCTTCTGCCCACGGGGCTACTCTTCCGGACACTCTGGTCAGCCTTCAAGAGATGGGGTGATCCTCTTGGGGTTTCTCATCTCTGGAATTGCTGTGGGCAAGGGGGAGGCGCGGCTCCCAGGAGTAACCATGGCTAGTCCTGGGAGCTGGGAGTCTTTCTGAGATTCAAGAAACTCCTACACTGTCTTCCCATGGCCTCGTGTCTGTTGCTGCTACAGTTCGGAATGGAGGTGGCATCCATTCTGCCCACTCTAGGGTTTCTCTATCCCCTCCCCCTGGATACCTGCTCTTCTAGGTTCATCTGCCCCCTGAGGAATAAGCCACTGGCTGGAGCGGGTCCCTATGGCCTCCCTGGGCTACAGAAACCCTGATGGATGGGTAGGCACTGGGTGCACCTCATGAGCCCAGAGCTGGGAGAACTAGGAATCCCTGGTCCCAGGTCACAGCAGAGACCCACAGCTTTCAAGCCAACAATGCACCATCAGCATCCTAACAGTCCCAGGCCATGGTTATGGAACTCATGCTGCTCCATTTAACCACATAACTCCCCTACTGACCTTGATGACCTTCCTTCTTTAAAATAAAATCCAAGATCCACTCCATGGCCTGTGATTACCTGCTTGGTGGTCCAATCTCACTCCGACTCTCCCCTTTGCCCATTACACGCTGGCCGAGGTCACCTTTCTCTATTCTTTGAACACACCTGTGTTTTTCTGCCCCTGAGCCTTTGCACAAGCCTTTTTCTGTTTGGAAGTGGATTGTAAGCCCTGTAAGGGCAGAGATTGTGTTTGGTTTTGTTTGATTCCATATCTTACCTGGTAAACAATAGATACTCGATAAATGCCAGCCGTAATAGGTCTTAATAAATAATTCTTGAATTAATGTGCTTGATGTTTTTCTATTGACTTAATCTTTACAACAACTATGTGAGGTAGGAGCTATCATTAAACTCTTTTTATATTGAAGAAAAGGAAACAGGAACTCAGAGAAGTTAGGCCATTTGTTGAAGGCCACATATCTATGATTTGAACCCAAGAGGGGGCTTTTTTCACCTCTCACTGGGTGTGGGGGTGTGGCTGTGAGGTAGCAGCCACAGGCCAGCTTCCAGGTCCAAGGTGCTTGTGGGCTCCAGGGAGCAGGAGGCATTGGGTCTGAGCTGGAAAGCTGGCGTTAGACTTGGATCTGGAAAGGCCCTAAAAGAGCATTGCAGGTGGAAGGAACAGCAGTGCGCAGAGGTGTGGAGGCAGGGAGATCTCGATCTTGGAACTACCCAAGTGGACGCGGGCCGCCAGGGCGCAGTCGGCTGGGGGTCTCCATAGGCGGGACCCCCATAGGTAGCGAGTCACTCCGCAGTCCCCCTCTCCAGGCTATGGCTAGGAGCCTTCAGGGAGGGGAGCTGGGCACTCCCACGCCCCTCTGGGGCAGGACTTTCCCACGAAGGGGCGGCGTTTGGAAAGGCCTGGGGTGGGTCCGGGGGCGGGCGCCAAAGCTCCAGTCCCTCTGCAGCCCCATTCTCAGTTACTCGCTCTGCCGACCCGGGTCTCGCTCTCCCAGCAGCAGAGCTTCGAGGTAAGTGGTTGGGAGAACCCCCTCTTCCCAAGTCCGGGAGAGTGGAGAATGCGGCTTGGACTCCAGCCCGGAGTGGTCCGTGCCATGGAGGAGGGGGATGGGGCTCCTGGCAGCTCAGAGTAGAGGACACCTGGGGAATTATTCTCTGTCCACATGTGGGGTGCCATCTCTTCCCCCAAAAGCAGATTACTCTTTCCCTCTCCCCATACGTGGGGCTCTCCCACCCATTTATCATTGATGGGGGGCCCTGCCTTCTCAGACTCGGGGGGGGGCCCTCCCACTTACCGCCTTGGTACCCTTCCCTAATTACTACTGAGTGTCCCCTCCCCAGATGTGAAGTGCACATTCTCTTTCCAGAAGTGGGGTACCCCTTTCCTTTTTCCAGGCTTGTGCTCCTCTTCTTCCTTCTGACCCAGTTTGGTCCTTGGCCTCCTCTAAAGTCGCTCTCCTCCCCACTCCCATCATGGGATGTCAGTCCCTGAGACTCCCCATCCCCTAGGGGGTTGGGCTCATCCTTCCTCCTCTCGAGCAAGATCCAGCAGAGCAGGCTCTCGGTGCACGTAGGCAGCCAATTAGGGGGGGAGGGGTGGGGGCCAGAGCGTCTGGCAGAGACCCGTGGCAGATGGCCCTCCAGGGAAGCCGGTTAGCTGCAGGACCTGCTTCCTCCCTCCGCGGCGGCCCACCCCATTTCCTGGGGGCGGGGGTGGGCGGTGGGGAGGGGGCAAACAACTCAGGCTGAGCTGGGGCAGGAAGCAGGACTCAGGCTCCCAGCTCCAAACTACTCAGGCCCTGCCTTAGAAATTAGGCCTCCTCAGGCCCCGGCTGGGTAGGTCAGTTGGTTGAAGTATCTTCCCAAAACACAGAGCACACACAAGAATCAACCGATGAATGCATAAATAAGTGGAACAAATAGATGTTTCTCTCTCACTCTAAAAACAAACAAACAAGCAGTAAATATTTAAAAATTTAAATAAAAAAAAAATTAGACCTCTGCTCTCTTCTCAGAGGGTGAATTGAAGTCCTAGGAGGGAGCTCCTAATGTCTAGGACCCCAATCTACCCCTGCAGGGATATGAGACACAATTAGACTGGTCAGGGGCCTGAGGATGACCTTGAAATCCTGAAACCTTGCCACCACCACACCTATGAAAATAGTTTCTCTGTCTGCGTCCTAAGGGGTAGGGCCAGAGGGCAGTGTGGGAGCTCATTCACATACAACCCGCAGATGTTCTTCAAAGCTGCCTGGAGCTCGGCACTGAGGAAACGAGGGCTTGGAATGCGACGGATACACAGCCCAGGAGACACCGGTAAGGCCTGGACAACCTCCTCCCTCGCCCAACTCCAAGGCAAGGGCAGGAGTTCTGTCTGCAGGCTGCCCCTCGTCCCTTCCATGCTGCCCCTGGCCGACCCCAAGCCATTTCCCACAATCCCACTCCTGGTCCAGGAAACGGAGCTCAAAGGGCAAGCAAACAGCAGCCCCCCCCTGCATTCCAAGCTTCCTCAGGGCCTGACTCCTAAACTTTAGGTCCCTAAAGCCTTTGTGTCCTGAGGTATAGATGCCGACAAAACCTGGGACCTCTTTTCTAGGCCCTGGTGTCAATGCTAGTCAGAGGAAAGAGGCCTGAAGCAGGGGAGACCACAGCCAGACAGCAGAAGGGCTTTTCTGATCGATCGATTGATTGATCGATTGACTGATTTAGAAATAGCATTTATTGGGCCCTTACTAGGCACCTCAAGCCAAGATAAATATTTGATACAGACTAACACATTCAGACTTCACAACAACCAGGAGGCTATGTTATTATCTCCATTTCTCAGAAGAACAAACTGTGGCCTAGAGATCTAGGTATTCAGAGAACCAGGACTCCTTGCCCAAAGCAGTTCCAATGCTGTCCTGGCAAGGTGGTTCCAATGCCTCCCTTGTGGGCATCTTTGGTGACGATAAACAGAAGCTTCATTGAGACTCTCCTAGTGCCCAGCCTTTTCTTTGGGCTCTTACACGGAGCCCTTGAGGGCTTAGCCATCAGAGAGAGCGCCCAGGAACGAAAGCCAGCAGTAAACCGACCTCTCCATCAGTCTAACTTACAGAGCATCAACTGCGTGGCAGCACATTGAAGCACAGGGAGGTAAAGGGGCTGGCCGGAGCCCGGTGGAGAGCAGCTGAGTTTCACACCCAGCTGACCCTGAAGCCGAGCCCTCGATCCCCTATCAAAGGCACATGGACACTGTTTTACAGTCTGCAGCGCAGTTTCCCTCCTGCTGGCTCGGGTTCATCTCACTGAGCCTTGACCCAACCGTCGCCTCTGCCTGACATGCCCTCTTTACTTCAGATCTCCCCAGAGAACAGAGGATTTGAAGCCAGGGGGCTGACTTGCAGCCCTGGCCCTGGTCCTTCTGGTTCTGTGAACTTCAGCAAGTCACTTGCAGCTCAGTTTCTTCATCTGTAAAGTGGAGATAACAGCATCCCCTGGCTTAGAGTGATGTAGAGTCAATGAGTCAACTCACCTGATGGCCTTAGACCTGGCGTACAGTGAGGGCTCAATACATGCAGCCCTCTCTGTTAATAGTCTGGTTAGTGCTGGAATGTCCCAGGGACAGCCTGACCTCAACCCCTTCCTTGTGCCCGCAGCTCACAGCAAGGGGAAGATGCCTCCCTACACCAATTACCACGCCCAGCGCTCCTACCCCATGCCAGATGAGCCCTTCTGCACCGAGCTCAATGCCGAGCAGCGGGCCCTGAAGGAAAAGGAGAAGGGCAGCTGGACCCAGCTGAGCCATGCCGAGAAAGTGGCCTGTAGGTCTCAGAGTGGGACTGGCTGGGGAGAGGAGGCTGGGGGTGGCTTTGCACGGAAGGGCCTGTAAGGGAGCAGTGGGAAGGGCGAACCCCCACCCAAAATGGCCAGAACCCCCCAAACATTTGAATGCATACCCAAGAGGGAAGTTCATTCATTTGTTTTTTTCTTTTATTCACTCAACTATTTGTACACAGCCTAATGCTAGACAATGCTGGGCACACAGGAGTGAGTCACCCAGGTGGTTCCTGCCATCAGGGTGCTCTCTGTCCAGTGGGGAAACTGACGCAAATCCAGGCAGCTGCAGTACGGGATATGTGGCTAGGGCGAGGCATGTCCAGGGGTTTGTGGGGACCCAAAGGAGACAGGGCTGGAATCCCGGAGGGCCAGCCAGGGGAAGGCACTTTCCAGCTAGGCTTGAATGGTGAGGAGGGGTGCTGCTAGGTAGCAGGAACAGCATGGGGAGGGACGCGGAAGGGCATGGAGGGTTCCGGCATCACTGACTGATGGGAAGGGACAGAGCAGAGAGAGGCAGGTGAGGAGGGTGGGGGAGCAGGGGGCACGTGTGACCCTGAGTTCTGCCCTCCAGAAGTGCCCTGGGCTGATTGTAACAGGTGGAGCTCTGTTACCAGTTTCTGGCCATGCTTTCCATACAGTAGATGCGCAATAAGAATTTGCTGGATGGACAGCATTTGCTGCAGGGAGGGGGAAGCTGTAGATCCCCTGGACCAAGAGTTGGCCCGGGGTCCTTGAAATGGCTGCACCTGAGGCCCTTCTCCACCCCTCTCGCCCCACCCGCCACCTGCCCCCAGTGTACCGGCTCCAGTTCCACGAGACCTTCGCGGAGATGAACCATCGCTCCAACGAGTGGAAGACCGTGATAGGCTGTGTGTTCTTCTTCTGTGGCTTCACAGCTCTGCTGATTTGGTGGCAGCGGGTCTATGGTGAGTGGCAACGTCTCGCCTGTCTGCCGCCCTGGGCCACATCCTTGTGGCTACAGCCACCAAGCTCTTATAAGGGAAGTATGCTGGCACTCACCTAAAGAGTTTTGAAAAGTTCCCCGAAGAGGTGTAGGAGGAAGGGCAGAGCAGAGCTGTCTGAGGGGGAGCGTAGGGGCTCTACCTCTCTGGGCCTCGATTCTCTCATCTATAAAATGGGGATAAGAGTGCCCATATCTCAGGGCTCTTGTGAAGTTTTAACAAGAAAGAGCTGCAGGCCAGTACCCGGCACATGATTATGGATGGTGTTGTTACTATGACTCAAGGTACATGGCCGGGGTGAGGTGTCCAAGGCTCTCTGAGGACCCAAAGGAGAGAAAGAAGGAATCCTAGAGGGCCATTGGGAGGAAGGCCCACTCCAGCAGGCTGCTATTAAGCATCAATTTTTCAATACATTGTTTCAGCTGCTGTAACAAAGAGTCCACAAAGTAGAAGAGCTTAAACAAGATAAAGCTCTCTCACAAAAATAGGCCAGGAGAAGTATAGGGACTCTAATGTCAGGCTTCTTCTGTCTTGCTGATCCTTAACAGGCAGCTTTCTTCTTGGCTTGCAAGATGGCTGCTCTGGCTCCAGTCATAAAGCCTACATTCCGGCAAAGAAGAGCGGAAGGGAGGATACACTCCTCTTCAAGGTCCTGAAGTTGCACGCACCACTTCTGCTCACATTCCATTGGTTAGACATGATCATATGATCATGTGTATCCACAAGGAAAGCTGGGAAGTGTAGTGTTTACCTGGGCCATCGCATACCCGATTAAGCATTTTTTACTGTAGAACAGAGATTTTTGACTGGTGTGTTGCAAGAGGTACACTGCTGTGCTGCAAGAATTTTTAAAACATGAAATACCTGACTATTTAGTCAGGAGCACTGACCTCTTCTCTTAAACTGTTGAGTTAAAAAAATGACAACAGCCAATATAACAATAGCCATGCAGGGTGAATGAATCAAAATTACACCTATTTTTGGGGGGGTCAGGTCAGCTGAAAACATAGTATATTTTTTGGTGTGCTGCAGAATTTTCGTAATTAGCTTATGTGTGCCATGAGATAAAAAATGTTGAAAAGCGCTACTATAGAAGGGTGGTTCTCAGTGTGGTTCCTGGCCCCACAGCTTCATTTGGGAACTTGTTAGAAACGCCAGCTCTCAGCCCCACTCTGGGTCTACTCAGCCAGACACTCTGAAGGTGGGGCCCGGCAGGCGCTGTTTTAATGGCCCTCAGGGTGATCCGGGTGCCCACTCAGGCCTGGAAAGCGCTGCCCGGAAGAGGGGAGAGGATATGGAAGAAGAGCTGGCAGTCTCCAGCTGAACTGACTTTACCTCTGGTGGCCTCACCTTGTTTTTTCTTCTGTAAAAGTATGATTGGAATTCCTTCCTACCTTGCATTGCATAAGAATGAAACAAGAAAGCCTTTGGGACAAATTCTAGTCTAGCCTGATATTTGGTACCAATAGATGCCCATAAAGATCCTTTCCTTCTTGCCCACCCACTGGGAAAGAGAGTGCCAGGGGCAGAGTTCAGGCTGCTGAGTCAGCCTCAGGGGCAGATAGACCAGGAAGTCAGGTGTGAGGGCTTTGGATGCCATGGTCCTCAGACCTTCCCTGCTCCACACGTGAAGGCATCTACAATGCCCCATGAGTGTTCCAGCCTTTGGGTTAAGTATTGTCCTCCCCAGGGTTTTAAAGTGAACACCCCTACCCTACCTCCTGCTCCCAACCCCCTTCAGGGAGTAAAAGAAACTATCTCATCTGGACTGTCCTCAATAACCGGAAACAAACTCAGTAATTATAATTATTGTAGCTACCATATATTAGGGACTTAATATCCATCCCACATTGTGCAAGTTGTTTTATAAATACTAACTCATTTAAGCCCCACAACCCTGGTGGACAGGACCTGGTTTTGACAGGTAGGGAAACTGAGGCTCAGAGAGATACAGTGACTTTTTCAAGGTCACACAGCAAGGGAGTGGTGGGTCCGGGATTTGGATCCAGACAGACTTCAAACCGGTGCTCCTATTACCTTTGGGTTGCACAGGAGGTGGGGAAACTGAGGCTCAGAGGAGGAAGGACTTTGGCCCAGTTCCCACAGTGCATGTAAGGCAGAGTTGAAATCAGAAGTCCATGGAGTGAAGCTTTAAGGAGGCTGGTGGGGGAGGGGACAGGCCAGGGGGAGGGGACTCCTCTGCACAGTGTATCCTAACTCTGTCACTGGGGACGCTGGCTCAGAGGCAGAGGGCGGGCCTGGTGGGGTCCTGAGCTGCTCAGTCCGCCGCCGTGCCTTTCCCGCAGTGTTTCCTGAGAAGCCTATCACCCTGACGGATGAGTGGAAGGCCCAGCAGCTCCAGCGCATCCTGGACATGAAGGGCAACCCTGTGCAAGGCCTGGCCTCCCGGTGGGACTATGAGAAGAAGGAGTGGAAGAAGTGACACCCCATGCTGCGCCCCTGGCAGCTCCACGCTGGCCCAGAGCCTATGGCACACCCTGACCCTCTCCTTCACTCCAATAAAGCTGGCCTGTTCTCTTCTGCCTTTAAACTCCACCTGAGTCTTTACCTGCTATAAAGCCTACACTATGCCTAAAATGAGGCAGTGTAGAAGGTGAGGGGCAAGAACAAGCCACTGTCCAGGGGCTCAGAGTGCAGCTTGTCCTGGAGGGCTTCCTGGTGGAGTGGGGGCCGAGGGCCGAGTCTTAGAGGGTAGGTGGGATCAGGGAAGGCAGGAAAGAGAAGGGAAAGCGTTCCAGGTGGAGGAGAGAAATAGCTTGAGTAAAGGCAAGGACACTCTTTTATTCAGTCCATTAACAAATACTTACTGAGTGTCTACTGTGCACCTGGTACTAATCCAGACCTTGGGGAAGCAGCGGTGAACAAGGCAGACAGTCTCTCGCTTCATGGAGGAGACACTGCTTTATAGGGGGAGATAAAAAGTGAGTAAGGAAGTGTAATATACAGTATGTGACATGGTAATAAGTGCTATGAAGAAACAAAACAAAGCAGGATAAAGGGACAGAGTTAAAGGGCGATTGGCGGTGGTGGGTGAAGGCCTCTTAGTGTTGCCGAACAGGCGCCGGCCCAGAGCAGATCTTCGGACTGGAGCGGGTCTGCCTCAGGCCATTCTGGGTGTGTGGGTTCCTGGCTTGGTGCAGGAGAGAGTTCCCAGCACGAGGCCAGGTGACTTTGAGAGGAAGTTTATGAAGGCTGGGGCAGTGAAACAAAGGGAAGACTTAGGGTAGGAGACAGGAGAGAGCCTCTGTGGTGCTCTGCTTTGGCTCCATAGAAACGTGATGGGAAAGGAGCGAGCCAGGGCGGGCCGCTGTCAGCTCCCTGGGAGGTCAGAGCAAAGGGGGCTCTGGAGACAGGATGGGGGGGGCAGCTGGGGCTGCCACGGCCCACTGCTCCCTCGGCCACAAGGCTCCGTGGGACCCTCGGGGTTTAGGAGGAAATAAGTTCATGCCCAAGGAGGGGCAGGGCGTCCTCTGGAGTGAGCCTGCGCTGAGCCTGTGTCCTGAGGGCTTTTTATCTTTTTTTTTTTCCCTCAGGATGACAATCTTAGGGGAGGGTTTCAGCAGAATATTCATCAGCTTTCCAGTGCATAGGGGGGTTTGGGAAGTATTCTTTGGTCCATTACACTGTTTTACTTTTATCTTGGTCTGTCTGGCTTTTAATGGGGTTTTTGTTATTTGTTCCCCTGACTTCATCTGTCCTTGGGCTTAGCTGGCACGAACGACATTAATTGGGTCTCTGTTCTCTATCTCCCACACCAGGGAGATGTAAGCTACGTATTGTTTAATTAGGCAGGAGAGGTATAAACCATTCACTCTCAAGTGTCCTTGGTTAGGGGAGATAAGTTCTTGCGGTACACCAGCTGGCCGTAAGTTGCTCAAACTGTTTGACCTTGTTTTCTTTTCACGTCTCAGTTTCCCCATTCCACTTGCCCAGGAATTTTCCTAGCTTTTTACTATCCTGCCTCATTAGGAGGTGGCATTTGAGAGGAGGTCTGAGCGAAAGGAGGAAACAAGCCTTGTATCAAAAACAGCCGCGAATATCAAGACCCTGCGGTAGGATTCTGGTTGGTACGTAGGTCAGAACTTCAAGGAGGCCACGCACAGTGACTGGAAGAGAAGGACTTGCAGCGTAGCAGGAAGGTGTGTGTTGTGGGGGAAGGCTGGTCTTGAGACAGAAAGCGGATTATATAAAGCCTCACGCGATTTTATTCTAGGTGTGACAGGGAGTTGCATCGGTCTCATCCTCCGAGAAGCAAATGCCAAGAGAGAATTTAAGATGTCGGACATTTGTTGGGGGTTACACCCATGAAGGATAAAGGAGACAGGGAGCAGGAGGAAGTTGCGAGTCCCGTTTTGACTGTGATGCACACCTGACAGCTGTGGCAGAACAGAGGAGAGGAAGGAGGGCTGGGTGGGAAAAGCCTCGGACTTCTGTGCCCTGTATCTGTCTGAGTCCAACTAGAAGACAGTAATTTAACGGGCTATTTAATGTAAAGAATTATTAAGCTTACACAAGAGAGTAACTATAAAGATAACTAAAGAGTATCTTAGGGAACATGCCCAAGGAAGAACAAATTTGGAAGTGGGGACGCCTTCCCAAGCTGGGGTTCAGACTCATTAGAGAAGGTGTGGTTGAAGCCCACCAGATGGCAGGGACTTCTGCCGGGTTGGCTAGGCCACAGCTGGTCCATAGTCACTGGGCAGGCAAGGTCAGAAGTCCTCAGAGGCCCAAGGGAGCTGAGGCTGGTGGATCGGGGGGGTGGGGGGGCCTGGGGCTTCTGCAGATGTGAGGCCTAGAGAGTGTGATGTCTACCTGCATGAAGAGAGTGGCAAGAAGATGGTCGCCAGGCCTCAGGGCTGCAAGGTTGTTGATAAACTGGGCTCATGGCTGCAGCAGATGACCACCAGATGTCCTTACACACTGCTGACCAACCACACAGCAGCCGCTAGAAAACGCGCGCGCGCGCACACACACACAAAACACCACACACACACACACACACACACACACACACACACACACACAGAACCAGAGAGCGAAGCCTCCTTTCCTCCTGAAATGCCCCCTCCAGCACCCTCTGCTGGCAAAGTTTAGCATTTCACTGTACAGGAGGCAATGCTCAGAGTCTAGATCACCAAAGTAGAGCAGGCACCTAAGTGTGAACTTGGAGATGAGAGGTAATACATTAATAACTGGAACAGTCAACTCTGAAGAAGTCTTGGCCAGACCAATGAGGAGCCCCAGAGCAAAAAAATAAATAAAAATAAAAACCAAAAGGCCCATTAGGAGGAGTCCTAAGGACCCATCCTTAGGACTCCACTGGGCTTGGTCCTTGGCTACGAGCAGCCCAGGGGGCCCGCAGCCTCAGCGTGAAGGCTGCAGCAGAACCTTGGCAGCTTCCTCTGGAGAGAAATCTGAGCAGCACACTCCACGGACGCCCTAGATGCCAATGGAGGGAGAGAGCAGAGCAGCTGGGACAACAATATAGGATGGGGCAAAAGTAGCTTTACAGTTGTTTGTATGGGAAAAATACAATAATTAATAAATAGTGTGCAAGAACAAACTCTGTGTTTCACATAGTCACAACTGTCAACTTACTTTGATTTTTTATCCTGACCCGAGGATATATTTTTTTCCATTGCTTTTTCAGAAAGAGCAGGAAAGAAATATTGATGCAAGGGAGAGAAGCGTCGATTGGTTGCCTCCCATACATGCCCTGACTAGAGATTGTATGCACCTGGACCAGGTGTTGTATGTGCCCAGACTGGGGACTGAACAAGCTAAGCATGTGCCCTGACCAGAATGAACTCTGTAACCTTTTTGTTATGGGACGACTCTCCAACCAACTGAGCCACACCAGTGAGGGCTAAACCTATTGTACTTTTGCCCCATCCTGTATTCTCTCAATCAACAAATACTTACAGTGCGTCCACTATATACCAGGTTCTGGGGCCAGAGTGAATGAGACCTCATTCTATTCCTCATGAATCTGAAAGTCTGGGATGGGGAATCTGACATTAATTTGAAGGTTACTCTAATAAATTATAGCACGAATGAGTGCTAAGAAAGGGAGGTACACCCCAAAGCTTGGACTGAACAAAGAGGGTAGACTGACTTAATCTAGAGCAGTCAGGGAGGGCTTCCCTGAGGAAGTGTCCTCAGACTTGAGATATGAATGACTGGGTATAAACTAGGTAAAAAGGGTGGTGGAAGAACATTTGAGTCAGAAAGAGCATGTGCAAAGGCCCTGTGGTAGTGAGAATCATGGCATGATAGAGGAAATAAAGGGAGCCAAAGGGCTGTTGGAAGAGAATGTACAGATGGAAAAGGGGAGAGGGAAACTCAGAGACTCACACATGTTGCTGGAGTCTCAGTTGCCTCTACTGATGGGACAAGTCTGGAGAAAACAGGGGGAAATGGAACTGGGGGAGCAGTAGGGGCCAGAGTATGGGGAGCCTTGGGCCTTCTATCTGAGAGAGGCAGCTGCCTTGGTCCCAGGCTCTATTTGGCATGAAGGATTCATTAATTAGTCTTAGCACAAGAGATGCTGGGGACCCAAATATGAAGCATGCAGGAGACTTGACCTCCAGGTCTCCTAACCTGTCGGGTGGGACAGCCAGTTGGAAACTAATGAGATAAGAGCTATGAAAATGTTCCGTCATATGTTTCGACCCAGACCCTGATGCTTTGCTAGCAGCAGGAGCAGTCTCGATATAACTGAAAATGTTGAAACATTTCAGGCAGTAGAATTTGTTAAGATTAACAAATTGCTAAGGACTCATGCTGTGAGAAACAAAGAAAACTTTCAAAATTGCCCCAGTGAAAAATTAGTTGTTGTACTAAGTCATTTTCCCCCCCGGACAGTAATGTCGTGTAACAAACAGCCCAAAGCTTGGCAGTTTACAACTCTGAGCGTTTATTTTTATCTTTCATGGACCTGTGCTCTGGGTCGGCTGAGGCTCTGCGGGGTCTGCAGGTTTAGTTCCAGTCTGTGGGTTGGTATTTTCGTGTGTTAGGGCTGCCGTAACAAGCACTGCAGGTTTGGTGGCTTAAACAACAGAAGTGTATTTTCTTACAATTCTGGAGGTTTGAAGTCCAAGATCAGGTGTTGGCAAGGCTGGGTTCTGCTGATACCTCTCTCCTTGGCTTGCTCCTCATACAGTCTTTCCTCTGTGTGTGTACATCCCTGGTTTCTCATTGTGTGTCCAGATTTCCTCTTCTTATAAGGACACCAGTCAGACTGGGTTAGGACCTTCCCCAGTGACCTCATTTTAACTCTATCACCTCTTTAAGCACCCTGTTTTCAAATACTGTCACATTCTGAGGGATTAGGGATTTAAACGTCAACATATGAATTTGCAGGGGGTACATTTCAGCTTATAACATTTGGATTTGAGGATTATTCCATGTGTCTCTTTGTTCTGGGACCAGTGGGCATCTAGGACATGTCCTTCTCATGGGAGAAGTCAGAGACTCCTCAGGGGGCAGAGAGGCGTGGGGACACATGATG